ACAGAGCTGAACAAACTACAATGATTCTGGCATCCTACTGGCTACTCAGTTAACACCTGGGCGTAGAGAAGCAAAGTAGATAAAGTGCCTTGCTTAAAAACATAAATGCTGCTGGGAATTTAAACCGATCATCTCAAGCAAAGTGCGAACTACTCCACTTGGAAAACTCTTTGTTTATAACTTTATGATCACGATGTAGAAAGCTACATTCTGCATTCGGCGGTTTCTTTCTCATTATTTTATAAACGAAGAAGTAAGGTGCTATAATGTAGTATAAGCCTGAAGATTACAAAAAGCCCAGAAAAGAATACGTATGGCAGAAGGGTACCTGCCCACGTTGATTTTCTATTTTTATTCTGTGAATTTGTATTCGTTCACTTCAAGACAATCTATCAAAAACACAATTGCACATGAATAATGAATGTACATATTTGACCTGAAAACCTACGTTTTTATGGATATTGTGTAGCCATGGAAACATACTTCAGTTTAGTTGTAGATTAATCCGGTTAATATATAAACTATAAAATGGACACGAGATCTGAGATGTCCCCCTGCGCTCAAGTGGAATTATAATGATAAAGGATTGGTTAGCCGTATAGGAAAAAGGTGAAAGAAGAAATATTTATGAGCGCAGCATAGTGAGCTCTTGTAAGTGATTAAAAGGTTACAGGCAAATCTCTCTGCAATTGATATTTGAGAGGATTTTTTCCTTCTTCTGGAAAACTAAAATGGAGAACTAAAGTGAACTGAATGTCTTACTATCTGAATTTATCATTTAGAACCTTGTGGTTTATCATTTCATATATTAGTAGTTCTTGTACAGCGCGAACGACTTCTTTAGCAATGTGCCTATTAAAATCATTTCCAAAATGCTTTGAATTATTACCCTTGCTCTGGCCTTCCCACCGGTATCCCAATACTTTCAATGGTTCTAGTATAGAAAATGAAGATTAATGACGTTCAGCTATAGAAACATAACCAGTGATTCACAGTCCGCTACCTAACCGATATATCACTCCTTCATAATCATCAGATAAAGGCTGTTGGTTCGCATACGAAATTCTTAAACCGTATCATTTCTGTAATCATCATACCGTCTTTCAAACTCTAAAATGCACATCCTCTGAGTCCATATTTATTTTCATAATTCAGTCTCTCATATTGTAAAGAAATATGTATAGGAACATTTATTGTATAAAGAATTATAAAACTATTACCTTTACAAACATATTCCCTGACACATACGTAGTTTTAAAATGCTTCACTTAGTCACCACATCGTTTTCACGATTTTGTTTTCTTCTTCAAAATTGGATGTGCCAATTCGAGGGGTAGTTCGTAAACATGTTGTTTACAATCATTTGCAATTTCAAGGACACATGCAAACATATCCCTTAAGCTTATCGTGTAATTGACTCTATCGCTTCGGGTGCTGTATAGCGCCTCTAATGAGCTGATTAATAATAGATGTGCTCCGCTTCATTTCGTCGGTGATAACTTCCGGCCCTTCGTCATATATAGGGGAAGCACCGGGGCGGGAAGGGGAAGTACCCATCAAACGTAGATTGACGAGCTTTCCACCATACCTTACTTACTCGTTGATGATGATCATCATCATCATAGGAGTGGAAAGGGGTAAAGATTCCCATATAAGTGGTAGAGGGGTAACGATAAAGAGGGAGGAAAAGGCTAGGGGAAGCACCGAGGTGGGAAAGGGGAATACCGATCAAACGTAGATTGACGAGCTTTCCACCATACCTTACTTACTCGTTGATGATGATCATCATCATCATAGGAGTGAAAAGGGGTAAAGATTCCCATATAAGTGGTAGAGGGGTAACAATAAAGAGGGAGGAAAAGGCTAAGGGAAGCACCGAGTTGGGAAAGGGGAAAACTGATCAGAAGTAGATTGACGAGCTTTCCGCCACGCCCTCTTTAACATCAATCGCTGATGATGATCATCATAGCAGCGGAAAGGGGTAATGATTACTATGACATTGGTAGAGGGGTAATAATACAGGGGGAGAAATAACCTAGGGGAAGCACCGGGGTAGAAAAGGAGACACCTATCAAACGTAAATAGCCAAGCGTTCCACCCCACACCCTCTTAAACCTCAATCGTTGATGATGATCATCATAGAAATGGGAAGGGGTAATGATTCCGATGACACTGGTAGAGGGGTAATGGTAAAGAGGGAGGAATAAGCTAGGGGAAGCACCGAGGTGAGAAAGGAGAAGACCTATCAGACGTAGATAGCCAGGCGTTCCACAACACCTTCTTAAACATCACTCGTTGACGGTGATGATGATGATCATCATCATCATAGGAGTGGGAAGGGGGTAATGATCCCCATATAAGTGGTAGAGGGGTAATGATACAAGGGGAGGAGTAACCTAGGTGAAGCAGTCGTCTGGTCAGTCGTTGGGAGGTACTGGGCTTGAAACCCATTCGATGCCCTAATACTCTTCGCCAAAGCCACACATCCCTTTGGTGCTTGATAGAATTTACCTGCTTATTATCAATTCTTCTTCTTTCGTGTCTATCATCTGTGCTCAAATGTTCTGACAGGCTTTTTGCACACTGAAGAGTCTTCTAATTTGCTGCAACAAGGTCTTCCAGGCAGCATTGGTCATCTAGAAGTACAAAGTCATGAACATATCAACCGTTATGACGTTTAAACTACGGGAATACCAAATAGCTCTTTCAAAAGCCTTATGACACTGCTCCTGCTTCAAGAGATACAATTAGACCTCCTTTATAGGCAATGACCATATTAGCATATCGAGTCATTTGCAGTAGGCTAGTTGGTCGGATGTATAAAGTTGGTGATGCATGATGTTGTCAGGACCAATAGCCCTGAGAGGCTCGTTTGACCAGGAACTCAATCGTATGAAATTAGTATCATCACAGCTACAGGGGAATGCAACACATTATGCATACCAACGGACAACCGCTATTATAGTTTCCAAATGAATCTACAGTATTTTGACAATGTTTGTTCTGGAACGAGTGCATGTCTTTTGCGTGAACTTGGAAGCTACGCTGAGAACATCTTTTTGATGAAAAAAGGTGTATATTGTCTAAATTGTTGTGCCTTACACAAATTTCCTTGAATAAACATATTTGATTTGATTTGATTTGATTTATTTTCTTCTGCATTCAATATAAATATTTAATTAATCAATTGTATTGCCAATAGAAATAATGCTCGAATTACATATATAATTTTTATGTTCGCACCTTTGTGGAAGTGACGCACACGGTCAATGCAATTGCCTCAGGTCGAATTTTCGAAAGTCTTAATTTGCAATCTTGTTTGAAGTAAATTGACAATACTTGTATTATATTCAGAGTTCACATTGTGTGTATGCTTCGTCACAGTGTTTGGTTTTATGAATTTTGGTTAGTGGCTCCTTTTTCACATGAAGATGTATATTATGAACCTCAGGAAATTTGGGATTCCCGCAATCAGAATAAGATATAATGACAATCATCATCAAACCTTAATACCTCCGAAACCTTTAAATTGCTCAGCCAAGAGTTTCTTCCCTTGTGTGTTAATAAGGACTCTAAATTGCTTCGAGGAGAAAGGGGGCTAGCTTATTGCCCAGCTTATGATAGAAATAGTTGAGTTTAAAAAAAAATTCAATCTGAGATTGAGAGAGGATAGGCGTCCTGGTTACATGATTTTTTTTTAGCTGAGAAACTTCTAAAATTTGGACTTTTGCTGAGAACAGAAGAAATTTAAGAAGCTAGGAGTAAAAAAAAAACGCCATGATTCGCTTGCTATACCTCAACACCGTGGAAAAAAAGGTTTTGTGCTAGGGATTAATGAGGAGTGAAACTTCTAATAGGTGGTGTCATCGAGGAGTCACGATCTCTGAAATCGTTGTTAGTTAGTAGATCTTGAGAAATAAACATTAATACTGAATAAAACTAATTGTCATTATATCTACTTCTCACCTCAATTGAACATGTTTCGAATTATGTTAAGCTAGAACTGTCGCAGCATTTATCAGGTATAAGTAAATCGTTATAATGACCATCTATCTCTTAGACATTCACTGTTATCAATTTAATATAACGTGCATTTAAAACATTAGCAGGATTACGGGCATTTTTAATATCGAACATTATTTAAGGATTGCAGCAGGCACGACGGCTCTTTCGGGTCTGTAATCTGGCTCCATCTAGATCCCTCGCGCTCACGAATCAATCAGTGAAAACCTCGGCAGGTTGGGAAATAAAGATTCCTGTCAGGTCGACTACCTGGGTTAGTATTACTGTAAGTCTAGAACACCTTGGTACCTAACACCGGCAATACCTTGTCTTTCGTGTCAAGTTCAATTTCGACGACTTAACCTTTTCTTTCGCTTAATACTCAAAGTCGTCTTTCGCCGCTTCTTGGGGCCCCTTTTTGCCTCTTCTTCTGATTTTCTTTCTTTTGATCGTTCCTTATTTCGTTTTTTCTGTTTTTATTCTTTCCTATCTTCTTCATAATCTTCTTCTTTATTTTCTTTTCTCTGTTTCTTCTCTTTCTTCTCATCGTAATTTCGTTCTTTTTGTCGTCTTCTTATTCACCTTTCCTTTTCTTTTCATTCCCATTTTAGTTCTGTTTTTAACCGATTTCTTTTTTTTTTCTTCATAATTATCTTGACGTCTTAGTTCTCTTCTTCATTATCATATGTATTGTTGGAATGTTGGCCGTCTTCTCTTCTCTTTTCTCATCGTCGTTTGCGTTCGTACTCTTTCATTTCTTCTTCTTTCTCCACTTGTTTAATTCTTGATCTCGTACAAGTATACTATTCTTGTTTTTCCTCCTCTTTTCTCCTTCCTCTCCTATATTTTCTTATCTTTCATTTTCTGCGAAATCAGCAATCGATAGGCCTAAAATTTAATCAAATTTCATTCAACTGTTCATCAGAAAATAAGATAAACTCCAATCATTTTCACAATGTCATTATACTTAATACTTCTCTTTTCTTTCTGTACTGCAGCTTCTGAGGGTTTCCATCCATGCTTTTAAGCCTCTTTTCGCCTTGCTCGCCACGGCTGGGACCCCGGTAACAGCACGATGGACACCGCCGTGTTTCTCCTTCTTTACATCACTACATTAGTGGCTACCACATGGTTCTCATTCATAGGTAAGAATGGCCGATCGATGTCTTCTCCTCAATGTCCACTACGCACGTTGCGTCGTTTCGATTGCGCTAATACTTGCGCTAATCAAGTCATAAAGTGTCATGAAGCGTCATGAAGCGTCATGAAGGCGATTCCATTTGAGCATACGCAAGTAATTCAACGCAATGTTTGTACTTTTCGTTTTGCATTGTATTTGTGAGATGTATTATTCCTCACATGAAGTGTCAAACATACAGAGACAGTCACTGACGCAGTCACGCGTCAGCAAAATGACGCCCGTGTGCAATATACGTAACCCTGACGTAGATTGCGTCTGCGATTGCTAGGAGTTTGACGGCCCATGTCAGAGTGATATCATACAAAATGACAACCAACATTTGCGTTGCACTACTGACGCATGCATTAATTGCCTCCACACGCCTTATTAGCTCAGGTAACAACGCTGTCGAATAACGCATCGGGTGCAGCTGGCATGAGAACAAAAAGGGCGTTAACAAATACTGAGTATTTTGGGTATATTAGGGACATTGAACCGCGGAGTATTTTTAGTCAGACCAAAACAAAGATCGTCTTAAAATATATGTACATTTATATCACTAAATCAACAAAAGTACCGCAAAATGTGGGTCATGAAATGCATTTTAGTGTGATATAACTCAGATTTTGCCAAAATGCTTTATTTAGGATAGAATAAAGCCGTCAGATCCGTTCTGAAACACACAGTCATCACGTGACGCCATTTGTCATTCAGGAGGAGTAGGTCGGATGCGTTTGATGTTCTGACGTAGCAGGCGAGTGTGACAAGGATCAATCATAACATATTCTTGTTTCCCGCGCTTTTTATGTGGATCAGTCAAGGAAAATCTCTCCGCATTTTCTTAAACAAACAGACGGATTTAAGAGAGGAAAGCAGGTAGATGAATGAAAGGAATGAAATGGGAGAATACAAGAAATGGTAGAGACTAGAGGTGAGTCGAGATGATTGAAGTGAGACCGAATGGAACCGAACATGTTACTAAAGAGAAAAAAATACAAAGACAAAGAAAATGTGTGTGTGTGAGATATATGTATGTATATATGTATATATAAATACTTAAGGCACAAATGCGATGAAATGATATTACAGTTACCTTGTTATGGAAAAAGTGGCATTTTCTTTAACATCTTTAATCCCCTCATCCTCATTTTATGTTGAGTACGTGTTTGTTTTTTGCTCTCTTACGCTTCCACGCCTCTATGTTTCTACCTGTCCGTCTCTCCCAAATATAGATATTGATATATATATATAATATATATATATATATATATCTCTTTCTCTGTATTTCTCTAACTCTCTCTCTCTCTCTCTAGCTCCATCTCTCTTTCTCTCATTTCATATGTATCTCTGATTTGTTTAGATACCCTTTCTCTCTCTCTCTCCTTATACGAACACTCTTTCGCGTTTTACCTGGCCTTTGTATAATTTGTTAAATGTACATTTCTCTTATGTTTCCCTTTCAATACTCTTTGTAGTGTTCCCCCGTCACTCTCTACCTCTCTCTCTCTCTCTCTTCCCCCATCTCTTCGACTCTCTCCCTTTCCCTCTCTCATATCACCCCTCTCCCACCCTCTCTCCCTTACATATTGCAATCTACTTCGAGCTAAGAAAACAATTCGGACCCACTTTTCATACCAAACCAAACAAGGCATGGCAATGGGCCATGTTACAAGAAGCACCTTGGATATGTAGGTCAGAATCTCCGTAAAAATTGATCGAAAAGGACTGGGGAGCGAGTGATATCAACTGTTCATTCAAACATCCATCAATCTTCAAGTAAACACAGGATGATCCCTGCAATATTTGATGCTGTGGTCACTCTCCTGCGCTACAAGGATAAAGGTCACAGATAGAATGGGTTCTAGATGAGTTGCAACCACAGATGGACAGATATCATGAAGGACAAACTGTCTTCATAGATGATACGAACGTGAGAAAGACAAAGCTTTCATTTCTGAATCTTAGAAAGGTGTTACCTTCTCTTGCTATTTGCGATGGAGGGGTGATAAAAGATGGGGAAGGGAAACATTGGAGTGCAATGCAATGAAGAACGAGTGTTTTAGAGCAAGATACCGGTGAAGATGAGAAGTTATGTTTGGCCAAGGACTTATGAGAGCTCTCATAACTCCGTGGTTTGACGGAGACGGTTGATTACGTAGATGGGCAAAGGATAATGTAGTGTTTGGGGATGGGGTGTGGTGGTGGTGGTAGAGATGGTGGTGTTGTTGGTGATTTGTAAGTGGCGGTGGTAGTGCTGTTGTGGGTAGTGGTAAAGGTGATGGTGCTGGTGATGCTGGCAGTAGCGAAGGTGGAGGTAGTGGTCGTGGTATTAGTGGTGGTAGTGATGGGAGTAGCTAGTGGTGATAGTGATGGTGCTGGTGCCGATGACATAGATGTGGGTGAAGGGCATGTGGTGGTGGTCGTGATAGCGATTGTAGCTTTGATCTTTTTTTTTAATTGAAGGATTTGATTGAATATTATCCACAGTCGCAGTCCAAAGACTGAATTGCAATGGTTAAAACAGTTTACAATGTATATACATGATAAAAGCAATTAAAACAGTCCAAGCAATCTACGATGAAATTCAAATAAAAGTGATCAAATGACAATAATAATGGCAACTATCGTTAAGTCTGATTAAGAAGCAATAGAAATCTTAACTGAAACAACATGAAAAAGTAGTAGGAGGGAATCTATAAAATAATCAGGTTGTGATGGTGACAATGGTGGCGGTGGTGGTATTGATTGATGATGGTGTTAGGGATAACGTTGGATATAGTACTGATGAAGGTGATTTTAGAAGTGGTAGTATTTGAGGTGGTATGTTGGTAATGATGATGGGGGTTTGGCTAGGTGATTATGGAGAACATCTTGTCATTATCAAAATGGGGAGACTTGATCTTAGTGTAAATGATGTGTTCTGTTTGTAAAAAAAATAATCTCAAGTCCTATGATTAACTATGACTTTTGTCATGACGTCGTCATAAACAACGATAACAGAAGTAGGGCAAAGGACCAAGATGGAGATTTCAGACATAAAAGAGAACTTGTTGGCGGAAGACATAAATACAGACAACAGAAAGGTGTAGTATGATTGAAGGGGGGGGGGCTAGAGCGAGATGTATTGCCTTGTACGTGTAAAGGGTTTGTAGGAATCCTCATTCCAAAATTAATAAGCCAAATTAACTACGGGAAACTACGTTATCAGTCAAAACACAATACCGTCCGTTTATAAACAATGGTAAAAGCTGGATGATACCTAAAACCTCGACCTAAAGTGGATAGTATTATGGTTGGGAGGACGGAGAAAAGTGCAATAACACTTGGCCGGGCCACGAGCCCTTTTGGATCATTGAGCCTGATCTTTGAAAGGTATTATCTTTCTGAATGGAATATGGCTTTATTAGACTCTGGATGGTGGGATGACAGATTCGAATCTAGATCAAACATCTCCAGTATCTCCAAATATTAAGGAAAATGCTCTTGGTTTGGTCTTTGGTTATGATGTACAGCTTGAACCTGTGGATACGATTGATATTTATTACTTTTGTTTAGAAGCAAAAATTGCTCTGCCGAAAAGTAGATCAATATTGTTTGTAATATGTTTTCATTCCATCTTTATAAACAGCGAAAGAGGAGGGGTAGCTGTTGACAGTTTCTCGGCAATTTATATTGGGCTTCGCGTCCTAGAAAAAAAGTACTTTTGGGGGTCAAACAACATTACAGCTCGAGGGTACTGGTGGATTTTGTTTTATTTCAAATGATACGTCAAATTGAAAGTGCATTTTCATTCATTCAATATACATGATATAAACGTATTTGCCCTAGCCCCAAAAACAAAATTTGCTCCCCATTACTAACTTACAAAGAGAACGCATACGTTGTCGTTTTCCCTTTTTTGAGGAGTTGCGTATTGGAAAAGAACCATGAAAATTGATGGATGCCGGAAAATTTTGTTCATACAAATTATTCGAATCTTCATTAATTTCCCATATTTTCTATACTTCTTTTATAAAGAGCAGTTGGGAGGAAAGGCAAGTATCATGCACGTCATATTTAATACATGCAAACCGCCCATTATCAATTATTCAAAGCTCCAGCAATTTCTCTAGTTTCTACACAAAGCTAATGAGGGAAGTATAATCCTTAATTGCTGGAAAGCACTATCAACGTTCGAGATCTACAAACGATGAATTTTGTTTAAATTAAAAGGGAAAAAGGAATACCATCCCAAAGCCCCGATCCCTCGACACACCACTCTGACCATTAGTATTGATTCCTGTCATGCAATTAGGATAATGGGCTAGATAATCATCATATTATCTGTATAGCTCCCATCGTTTAACCGTCCTAATGGAAATAATGTGTGCATTAGGTCTATTTGCACAACTAAGGCATCAGACGCCCGTGTCAATATTTTTGTGGAGCCCCCATCCCGAAAAGGGTTTCATGAACGAGTTAACATGATCCATTGAGTATCAGGGCGATTTATGAGAAAATGCTCTGGTGTGTTTCCTAAAAGGCTGGCTAATGGATTCGCGCTGTTGTTTAGGAAGAATTGAGGTAGAATAATCATCTTTTTCACACTGTGATCTCCATTCTCTACGGTTAATGATGTATGGTTAAAGTGGTAATTGATTGGAATCATGAATTATAACGAGATGTAAAAAATGCATAAATGCTCCCGTGTGTACTTAGTGGCATGTTATATTCATGCTCTGGGATATTTGTGTCTCCTATATTTTGCGTCATATTCTTTTCGAACTCATACTTTGCATTTTCACCTCTTAAGAGCTTTAAGAAAGAATGGTTAGACCTTGTCATAAAAAAGTCGTGTAGTCAGGTGGCGCAGGGAGGGTGTGAGTCTGATTTGTAAATCAACTGATTTAGTGGTCTTTTGTAGTCTTTTCGGTACATCTAGAAATCGGTTGACCTTCCTTATTGTTTGTACCCCCCCCCCCCCAA